CCCTACACCCAGAAAGAGAAAACACAGAAGCAAAGAGGCAGTAGATGTACTTACGGTAAAATTAAGCAGAATGTGTTTTATCTACTACTTGCACTATGTTTTATGTCTGGTCCAAAAAGCTTCCCTACATATCAAAGAAAAATTGATTTGGTGTCTTTATCAAGTAGAAAACCACCTTTTAAACATACCAGGTAGATTGAGGAGTAGAGAAAAATCAATCAGATGGTTTTTTATTCAAGCAGAGAGGAGCAAAGAAATTGATCAGTGCAATTTCTCAAAGACATGCCCTCTTAGCAACCAGAACCACCTTTGCAAAAGCAAACCCGAGCGTATTACACCGTTGCAGCAGTAAACTAAAATGATCACCATTGGATTATATACACAAGTCAAGAAGTCTGCACTTTCCGTGTTTTCTTCTGCTAACTTCAAACAGACTTCTTCAAGTTACGCAAAAGGAATAAGTATCACAGGCTAGAATCCCAAGTTGGTATGAAATCTACCCTAAGCTCCTCTATCCAGCACTTTGTTTATTCCTTGTTTTTCCTATTGACTAGCCTTCACATGTCCCCAGTCAAAATAAGTATCAAGCATATGGTATAAAAGTAATTTAGGTTACCAGAATCTTGGCCTAATGTATTGATTAGTATTAATTTCTGGTGTGGTTCAAAACCATAAGATTTGGGGTTTTTATAAAGCGTTTATAATTATCGTTCATCAGAAGGTGAATTCACAGGAACCTCACCTGTGATCTCAGAGTAGAAATTCCACCGTCCTGAAATTTGAGCCTCCTTACAGATGCTCAAAGAAACTATTTCATGATACCAGCAAGCAAAAAAGGTAGAAGCTTCCCTGAAATGTCTTATTAAATCACCTCAGCCCAATGAGACAAAAGAGACAAATGACCATTGCAAATAACAAGGCATGCAGTGTACACACCAAGTTTATCAATGGTAGTGATTAAGTCAGATGGAACAAACGAATCCAAGTCTGCATCCAGAATTCCAAGGGGATCTAGCTGAGCCACATGATGGCCGCGGATCTGAAAAAGGAGGAAAGTGAGAGAAAAATGAAATCACACTAACAAAAGTCAGACAAAGGGAAAAAGTCACAGATATCTCTCCATAGTGTATATATCAGCCATGAAGTCAAATAAGCAAACACCACTAATGTCATGAGAGGGTCATATTTCCCGAGTTTTCCCATACAGGAAAACAGGAACCGGAAATAAGCATTATATCTCTGGATATGTATACTACCTCTATTAAAAACTGTTGAATACACATCAGAACATAACCTTTATTTTGTCTGACATACAATTTAAACTGTAATTACACTGAAGTCTAAGTAAAGAAAACCACTAAAGACTGTACTCTAAATCTCTAGGTAAAATTAAGAAACTATGACTAGTCTATAGATCCTATCATTTGCTAATTCAGTCATTTTGTATTTTTGCCTGAATCCTCTTTTCCGCACCTGCAGAATACTGAAATACACCTTTGCTGACCTAAAACACAGATTGGTGCTGAAGAAGTTTATATTGGAATTGAACAGATCACTCTTCATGAGCTGTGCTCCTCATCAGATAGCATTTATTTTCATTCATGGAATTCCGGGAATTTCATCTATGTTAAAATTGACATTCAAGACACCAAAAAACACAAATTCAGTAGGAAATTTAGCCAGCTTTCAGTTATCAATATGACTGGTGTTAATGCATGCCACAAGTTGCCATAAACTAGTGCCTTATACTAACATACAACATCGCTACAGAAGAAAAAACTAATTGATTCAATAGAGCCTCAAATAAAACCCAATTTTTTTAATATAATGTCTCTTGTGTGTGATTCTCATATACCAAATTAGCTCATTAAAAGCTTTTTATAGATTAATATATGAATACTTTCTCCTTAATGTTCTTCTTTTTAGGGACCAATTCAGATCACTTGGGTAGAATTTCATTCACACTACTAGTATCCTAATTGTCTCTGGAAAACAATATATCAATAAACTGCAATATTAATAATGAATTGCATCACACAATAATAGAGTGTGATTAAAGTGTGGTTCATCAAGAAGCGACTTGTAAAAACACTATTCCGATGTTCTATATTTGCAGGAGAGTTCATAACAAAATGCTTTCCACTCATAAGCAAACAAATATGGCATCTTTTTTAGAACACCAGCTCTGTAAATTCAGCCTGGCCTCTGAGATTCTTTGCATCTCATGAATCACCAGTAATAAAACTCTGAGAGGCCAAATGATGCCCATGGCAACATCTGTGCCACCTCATTGTTTACAGCGGCACAAAGTCTATCTGACTGGAACTAAGCAAACAATTCTGTCTCAAGCATCATCAACAGGAAAGAATTCACCTCCCTAAGCTACATCTGCTCTGTGGTATTAGTAGGAAGAGGAAGAGGATTAGCAAGAATGCCAAAACCCAGAAGAGCAAATCAGTAAAGCGCTGTGCCATATTACACTCCAGGAGCAGTTTGGTCTTTAACTACAAAACAGTCTTTTCCTCCATATTAAGTTATTTTTTAATAACTTCCACTTCTTTCACTGGATACAGAAAAGAGCAACAACTGCAAAAATCAGAGATCAACCTTGTGAAAATACACGCGTGGAAAATTTTCATCAATTGCCATAAATTTGACTAAAAGCAAGTACAGACTACGTGAAACTAGCCTTTAAAATCCTATTTTCTAGACACATGCAAAAAAACCACCCCTACATTATAAAAGAAGACTCAAGAAATTAATTTATCTAGACTCATTTTTGTTAAGCACACACATTTCACTGGAAATCCTTCTTTCAGTGCGTCTGGTGTTCTGCATTAGAAAAAGCAATAGATTAACTGCCTTTTCAGAAGACCAGCTCAACAGACCACAAAGCAGTTTACCACAAAAACCATAAAACACTGACAGGTCTGAGAAATGAAAATTCTGTATCCTTCTCCATTTCATTTCATTATCAGGCAAAGGACAGTCACAAATTGATCGTATCCCTTCAACACTGAATTTAGAGGGTATTAAATACCTTTTAAAAACAGACAGTTGCCTTAGGTAATCCTCTTTCATTGTTTGTCGCAGACACATGGGTGCCTGCCATTTATACAGACATTTCTGTTCCGTCACTTGAGCCGGACAGCATACTCTTTCAAATACAGGAAACAAAACTGCAATCCCTGAATTATTTTCAAGTAAACAGTGTCAAAACAGCCTAACATTCTCCAATTTTCTCTAATTCTTCAACAAATTTTTACTGCAAGCAAAAGTGAATGGGCTGAACCGGTTGTTTTCTACATAGCTATTACTAAGTAAGTTTTGTATATTCTTTATATTCACAAACCTTTATACTCTTTCACAACACCTATCCAACAGCCGGATTAACATGGTTCATATCTGAATCAATGGTGACAATGCGATGTGTACAGAAAATAAAGTTTTTTTGAAAAGTTCCTCTTCTATTCCTCTGACAATAGCAAACAGGAGTTAAAATTCTTAGCACAGGGCAGAACAGATCTGCTCAAGTCAAACTATAGCAAACTTCTTGGGAAGTTACATACTTATTAAAAAAAGCAGAAAAGAAATTTAAAAATCAAACTGGGCTATTTTGCTCAATACAATCTACATCTTTAGCAGGGTTTTTTCGTTTCCCACTGTTTGTAAGCCTTTTATTGAAATTAAGGTATTAAACACAAGTCTAAATAAAAATGTTTAAACTTGTTTTACATTTAGAACACACCTAACCAAAACCACTGTGCTATTTCCAAAATCCTCCTTCTGTTAGGGGAAAAAAGGAAATTAGACTTAATTTCTTAATTTAATAAAAGGGTTAAAAAAATCTGAGTGCGAACCAAAGTCAATTTTGATGAAGAGCTCTCTAAAAGAAATTCATCAAAGCTGACCTAAACTCAGTACCGTCATCCTCCCAGAATTCAACTTCTGGTTAATTCATTATTTCTCCTCTCCCTTTTTACCTATAAACCTGCTCAAATCAGGAATCTCAAAATTCACACTACATGTATGAGAAGCCAAGCACATTTTCTCCTTTCTTAAAGAAAGGCAGTAACATTTAGAACTGTAATACAAACTTTCCCAGAGGTGAAGACAGACTTGGATCATGGAAAAGTTTGCTGTTGAAGAGAGGGAAAAGTTCTTATTTCACTGCACACATCAGGAGATTCATTAGTACCAGTATATCCAGGACAACTCCCTTCATATGAAGCAAAAACTGTTTCAGATAACTTACGTTTTCCAATTTGGTCAAGTAACTTACTGAATCACAGACACAGACACACACACACACACACACAAAATCTTAATACAGTCAAGTAAGCCAAAAGAATAGTAAAGGCTAAGCTTTGACATGTTTGGCTCCTGCTCCTGGTAAACGGGCAAAACCCAATAGATTCACGTTCCCTTTCATGAACAATTATCTCCACAAAGAGCTTCCAGGTGAAGTCAGATGACCAGCATCAGGGCTGTGGGTAATCTGAATCCCGAGTTTGCTAAACCAGAGGAGCATTCCAGTGTTCAGACACTGTGCAGGGAAGAAAAGACTGTCTAGTTCAAGATATTTTGGATCAGAAGCAAGACAACAGGCAAGAGTTACGACCAGAAGACAAACAAGAACATAAAAATGAAGAAAAAGGTTGTTTGCAAAGGAGAGGCCCTCCCACACCTAGCCCAAAGTACACTTACTTGGTATGCTCTTATCAAAGACTGCACAGCAAGGTGATCTTCCACAAGCTTTTCAGCTTTACCCGGTGTCTGGGCCAGGCCATGGCTCTGAAGAAATGATGCCTTTCTTTCCAACTGATTTGGTAGATGGGGATCATATGCTTGGCCAGCATTAGCATTTCTGAAGAATAAATCCCACGACTGGACATGTGTACAGAGAAGGAAAGAAGGAGTAAAATTTATTACCTCAAACAAAAGTCTCAACCAAAAGCGTCTCCTTCAAGCTGCAAATGGTACCTCACTGCATTACAGTGTTAAGTACCACTAATAGCCAGCAAAAAGAGAGCACTGATATGTCCACATCTTGGTAGCAACTGTGTGTTTCATTCACCCTTTTCATCTCATTTCTTACACTGAGCTTGCTCAGTGGAAAACTCTCCAGCACATATGAGTGCAAAGCATCTTCGTACATTATTCATTCACACAGCTCTTTCTAACCATGACGTTTATTCAGGCAACCAGTAATGGGTATGATATTATGCTGCTGGTAAAGAAGTATCAAGCCTATAAAACTGAAAGCCTTAATAAATGAAATTAATGCATTGCTTTAATGATACTTAAAGAATTTATGATACTTCAAGACACTCACTGAATATGCTAAACCAGAGTCAGTCCTTAAGGGCCTTTCTTGAAGAAACTGTTTAAAAGCAATTACAGCTTTTCTGAGTGAGGCTTTTGGTCTAAAGTCCTTTCCTCACCAGCTTAGATTACCTCGCTATGAAAGAAATTTTATGGACCTGGTTTCAGGTGCAAGTCATAACTTTAGAAGAGCACATATTTCGGAAACCAAATCACAACAAACGAAAGATCCTTTTATTTCCATCCGCACTTTTACACAAGCCACTTCCTCCACATACCCCCAAATCTGGTTTTCCTGATCTGTTTCTATTCTGATGAGGTAGTCACTATCCCAGGTTACAATGGTATTAGATATATGGATGCCAACAGACAGCAGCAGAATGGGATAAAACATCTGAGATGCTTATACTCACTAGCACTAGCAGGGGACTAATCAATACTTGTGCTTAGCTTACAGTTTCCATAAAAGGTAATGAAAGGTCATAAAACACTTTCCTCTGTTTGGCTAACCTAGGAAAGAAAGGAAGCTATTTCAAAACTTTAAAATTTTTGTGACAGGAATAGAACTACTGCAAAAGCTAAATTTCATTTTGTACCGTGCATATTATTTACCCCACCTGTGAGCTTGGAACTAACGCATTTCAAGGAACCAGTGCCAGAAAAGACAAAAAGTAGCCCAAAATTTTGATTTTAAAAAGAACATTACTTAATATATTCATTACAGAATACACAAAAGAATCAAAATAATGTAATACCAACACCGCACAACAGAAAAATATTTATAAAATTCTGTTTTCATTAGCGAAAAGTCTTCATATTGAAATTTCTACAAGCTTTAACGTGTTCGGAAACACCATGATAGGGGCAGGATACAAGAGCTAAACATCACCCAACCTTCCAAATTCAAGTTATGGAAGTGAGGGGACTCATTGCACCTGTGAGCAGGAACCTCATCATTAGCATGAAGCCATGGCTCAAGAAACACTGCTTTAATGCACTTTATTAATACAAAGCTGCATTGATACAAATACGATAAACTTACTTAACTTATCACCCTGCTCTTACACAGACTTGATCTAAACATAGCCTAACTTTCATATGCCGTGACAAATTAAGGCAGACAGATCACGCTTGGTGGTCAGTTCCAGACACACTGATGAAGAATTCATTCCTCCTCCCTTCTCTCATTTATGCTCATTTCCTATATTCTTCTTACCTTGACACCTTGCTAGCCGCACTGAGATGAGAAGTCTGAATTTACACAACATCCTATCAATGGTCTGCAAGAGTCTATTAGTGTAACTGCATGTCCCTGGTATTCTCTCTATACACCTTCGTACTCTATATTAAGAACAGTATTGTTATTCCATGCCTATACAGCGCCTAGACTGAGAGTTTGCGGATCGCAGACAATGAAAAACAGATACAATCCCTTCATGTTGCAACTAAGGCTACTTAGACTGGAGGAATTATTTTTGCAATATACAGTTATTAAGTTTCATTAAATTAGGAAATTCCAAACACACGTTTGGATCCATGACAAATCTGACATTTGGTATTCATTCAAAGTTTTAATAAAGAATATGCTTTGCTTATGTTAAGGTTCCTTCCTCACTTTTTCCAACACCATGATACACATACAATGACAATAATAATATAACTATTCCTTTGTTGAGTCAAAAACTTTTCATTTAGATGTAGAAGTTATCACAGCACAGTCACACAAACAACGGAATATGTTTTTAGACAAGTGCTCTGCTGAGACAGTTGCTAACAAAATCCAAACAGATTTGCCCAACAAGCTACCTGTTTAAGAAGAGTAAGCATAGGAACCTTTCTTCATGCAAACTCACAAATATAAAGAAATACCTTCAAAATGTTTACATCCGAAGATGCAGCCAGCTGGGACAGAAGGAGCCCACACTATTTTTTCCCATCGCGTTTTTGAACTTATTGATTTGTTGGGCAAGCTTGACATTTAATCAGAGGGGAGGGAAAATACATCATTTGGCTACAGAAAATTAGTTTTTTCTAGCTACACATCCATCAAAGCCTTTACAAATTTCTATAGTGTCTTTCAAGATTGATACCAGATTATAGTCTTCAAGTCCTGTGTATCAACGTCAGTCTTTGGCACCAGCATTTGCCATGTGACTGAACAGACAGAGAACCAGCTTGGTCTCACAGCAAACCTGCAGTTTCTCTACTAAATTAGTAAAGTTCTTTAAGAAAATGGTAGAGGAGACTTATAATAGAAAAACACATCTGTAAAATATAAATTACTACAGTGATACATGATACATTCCTTTTTTTTTTGCCTGTCAGCAAACCTATATTGTAGTTAACCATTATTTTCTGAAGTAATATAATATAATTCAAGTGATTCAGTGGCAATATTCTACTCTCATATAATAAACAGTGTTGCACTTAGAATAACAAGTAATAAATTAGCTATCTTGATGGTTTGGGTTTTTTTTTCTAGTGACATCACAATATTTATCAACTGTGGCGAGGACAGTGAAGCCTTAGAAGACACACACTGAGCATCACTACATCATTTAAAAAAAAAAAAAAAAAAAAGAAAAAAGATTAAGTCAAAACAAAACAAAAATCCCACGCTTTTTCCAAGTACATAAAACAAGGAACTGATTACACGCACATGGTAAGAGTGGCTGCATACAGGATAACATGGCAGGCATTATGTACTCAATATCCAACCATGCAGTTTTGTAATTAATCTTGTTATAGTAATAACTGAGCCTTGTCAAGCTTCTCCCTTATGATCTATGGCCCTGACACCATGCTTCAAGGAGAAATAATGATGCCTTTTTCAGAACCCACGTCATTTTATTCTGATTGTTGTTTTGGCTACTCTAAGGATAGGAAATTCAAAACACAAGGAAAAGCAGGAAGTCATCAGGAATGGATTTGCACAAGAATAAAAGTTCCTATGGATACAAATGCATATTCCTTGATATATAACCATGGTATACATAGAAAGGAGAGATTCTTAAAAAAACCCACTAGTAACATTTAATATGTTCATTGGAACAGAACAGCCATACTTCAAACGGTTTTAAATAAGCGTACATGAGAAGACATGTCCAGTCAAATCTTCTGAGAGGGAAATAACTTGAGGAGCCTTGATTAATTGGAGCTTCTAAGTAAAAGCGAATAGAGTATGATTTTTAAAGCCCAGGAAAAATAAAGCTTTCTCATCTCATCAACTAGAAGGAGGCACATCTCCTCTGATAAGAAGGACATATCCAAGAAAAAGAAACATGAGGAAAAATAGGAAATAAAGAGGAAAAAGAGGAAAGAGAATGTAACATCTAAACGCCTAGCACAAATTGGGTCTCTAAACCATGCTGGACGTACTGGATAAAACAATGAAATATGAGTGGCCTGCAGAGAGAGTCAAATTACTAACAATACCATAACCAACACCACATAAGCCATTGCTGTCTCTTGACATTATTTTCCAACACTTCCACCACTTTCCGTAGCAGAATGACAAATTCACAACTTGGCTACAGTCATAAAACATACGTTTAAGAAAACAGGGTGAGTTCAACTCTCAACATTTTTAACCTGCTTTATTAAAGCCCAAATTGAACAATTTCTGTCAACAAAAATCTTGGGTAGGTATTTACAGCTTTCAGCTGATGAAATGAGATGTTTTTCAAGACACCACAAATTAATTTTGTTGATGAAACAAAGTAAAATTAATTGGCATCATTCTCCTCCCCCTCTTTTTTCTAGGCTGTGAAAAACCTAATTATTTGGGCAAGAATAGCTGTAAAGTAACCCATGATGTCCATCAATCATATTCTTGTAAGCCTCATAAACCAGGCACACAGTGAATTTACTTCAGTTCATTACTGTTGTAAGTATATCATATAGTTAACCTGGAAAAGAATTCACACATTTTTAAAATGCATCTTGAATTACCTGGGATCCACTCCCAGCCTGACAACATTCAAGAAGCATTTGGACAACGCCCTCAGACATATGCCATGATTTTTGGGGTTGTCCTATGCAGGAACAGGAGTCGGACACGATGATCCTTCGGGGTCCCTTCCAACTCAGGATATTCTATGATTCCATGATTCTCTAGGCCACGCCCTACTCCACCAGTACATTTACATTCCTCAGTCAATTCACTTCTGCTGTTCAACCTCCACACTGCATCACCTCATCAGGATCCATTGCCCAACTGTGTCTAAACTGCCAGACGAATTGGATAGTCTTTCGGCAGCATTTTTAGCACCTCCGACCACCCCCAAGTATCAGCAAAGTAACGAGCAGGTCTAAATTTCTCAGAAGCCTCTGCTCTTTGCTCGGGCGGCTGCGC